GGAAAAAAGCTAGCGGCGGTCAAACAAAAACTTGGCATCAGTCAATGAAATCCACAACAGTTGGTCTAAGCCACGTAGGAAGGTGTAGACTTCCAGGCTGGGGTCCTCGGGACGGTAAAAATCTATGGTTGGAAACAATTGGTGACATGGCTCAAAATCGTTCTCAGTGGCGCAGATGCATCCACTCCCTGTGACTTATGATCTTCAATGAAACTGTTTTGTATTTCTTTATTACTCCTTTGTCTCACACCTCTGCTCACTGTTTCTATTATGCTTTTCTTGTACTTTCTTCTCTTGCTTCGCGTGCTACACGGAATGTGGCGACTTGAACTTCCGCACATTTGTGCAAAGTTCTATGTCGAAAACAGACAGACAGACTGGAAAATGTGAAACGAGCCCCCTGTATCCGTGCTGAGATTTCATCAGAGATCAACCCTTTGGCACTGGCTGGTGGTACTTCCCAAGTAAGTGAAGCGATCAACGTGCTCTATCCCTTCACTTCCTATTTTTAAACTAGGCGTCGATGTGATTCAGTCCTGTAACATCATCTTGCATTTGGCGGGAGCGAATCGCATACCAAACATTCGTAGATTGCGGCACAAGGTGTTTAGAAGACTCTGCATTTCGTCAGCGTCTTCGCCAAGAAGGACTATATCGTCTGCATATTCCAAGTCAACGAGATTATTCCCTGGTAGCAAGTCAATCCCTGAGTCACTGAAGTCACCTAGGGTTAAGTCCATTAACACATCTATGATGAAGTTGAATAGAAAAGGAGATAATGGGCATCCTTGATGGACACCATTAGTCGTCACCACTTCAGATGACAGCTCGCCGTAAGCCCTCACCTGGCTGTATGAGTACGAGTAGAGTGCCTTAATCAGTGCAATATATTTTCTTGGAATTCCCTTTACAGCCAAGCATTTCCAGAGAACTTCTCGATCGACAGAGTCGAATGCTGCCTTTAGGTCAAGAAATATAATGACTGTTGGACGCCGGTAGGAATGCCTATGTTCTAGAATCTGTCGGAGGGTGAAGATATGATCAATACACCCTCTTCCTGGTCTAAAGCCTGCCTGGCTCTCTCGTGTTTGTGCTTCCCGAGCACCACTCAGTCTACGCATGATTATTGAGCTTAAGACTTTAGATACTATATTAGTCAAGCTAATCCCTCTGTGATTATCACAGGAAGACTTGTCTCCCTTCTTGTATATTGGGGATAATCAGTCACTTACACCAACCCGATGGGACTTCCTCTGATTCTCAGACGCTGTTTAGAACCTCAGTTAATGCAGACAGTAGGAGACTATCGGTGGTGGTTTTTTGGCTCCTGTCGTTTTTAGTGGATACAGAGTGGAGAGGAAGTGAAGAGCTATCAAGTCGAGGAGTTGCATCAATGGAAGGAGGGCAAGATGATAGAGATGAAGATGAGTAGTAGAGAGGTTTCGTGTGCATGTCGGATTGTGAGGGCGATTGTTACTTCCCGGCTGCCCACACCGTGGAAGTTGGTTGCGTGACCGCAGAGCCCAGGGGACAACTGCTTGAGGCAGGTCACACGCGGCCTGCTTTTCTTTGTTCGTTATTGTTTGGTGTGTCTCAGTAGCATATTTATCACTCCTGCCCGGTGACACGGCAGCAGGAAGCGCGGTGGTTGTTAATCCGGGTCTCGGCCGATCCGGCATACTTGTGAGTTTGTATATATCATAGTGTTAGATTGGGTAGCTGATTTTTGTCTAACCGCTATCCAAACAACCTTTCTGGCATGGTAGGACCTCAAGAGACATAAGTCTCAGCCAGTATAGCTTGATTAGGTCATTGTGGTGTTCAAGCCCGACCACCACGTCAAGGTAGCAGTTTTCGGTCGGGTATAGACATATCCGTGCTGCTGCAATCGACTTCAGAGCTATGTCACCGACCGAAAGCTGCTACCTTGACGTGGTGGTCAGAGTTGCATATTACGGTGACCCAACAAGCTACACTAACTGGAACCAATGTTCCTGCAGGTCCTACCATGCCAGAAAGGTTGTTAGGATAGCGATTAGACTAAAAGCAGTTACCGGCATCCTGTAAGAATCTTTCTTACACTATGCTGGGGGCCTGTGGGCGAAGTCGCACTGCTGGGGAACAGGGATGTAACAACAGTAAGCTGTTTCCCTCAGACGACCAGCATGCCAGCCAGCTATGATGTCTCTCCACTCTGAAAAGACGGGGTTAGAAAAGGTCGACCCCAAAAATTGTACATCCCGAATTACCCTACGGTGGTCCGTAACCGGCCTTAAGTTCACTAATACGGAACCAATCCCAGAAACCAGTTCATACAGACCGTGTGTGACCGGCCTTAAGCAGTTGTCCCCTGGGCTCTATGGTCACGCAACACTAACCCTCTTTCTGTTTCAGGTACCCAAAGAATCAGTCAACTTCCATGGTGTGGGCAGTCGAGATGTAACAACCGCCCACACACTTCCAAAAGCACACGAAGCCTATGTCACTAGAATTTCCAAATTACTGGTTTTTAATATCTCGAAGGCTTTTACCAAACTGTCTATACTCTCATTATATGACTCAGACGGACACTTACAGAATTCAGCCTAGTCCTATACTAACCTGTAGTGAAATTCGAGGAAGACAATAATTCACCGAACGCAAGGTGTCTCTTAGCCAACCTAATATATGAAGATCCACAATCTCACTACCAAGGTTGCCTTCCTGCCTAGCCCTGAGGTCCCACATGTAAGGCCGATACTAAAAGGTCAATCGTGGTTAAGAACTAATCTCATCAGATCATCTGTCACCGTATTTTGTATCCGTACAGTAGAAGTGAATGCCAAGCAGTGAATCTTCTCGTTGACTAGTCCTTGAATATCATATCAACACCAATGGTGACAGAAAGTAGAGATTGCCAGGTGAGCTCTTCTGTATTTGCGTTGAGGATTTGTTTGTAATCATTCTACTAAGAATGATGAAAATTTTCAAAAGAATGGATACTGAACAAAAAGTACTCTTTACGATAACCCTTTCATCATCAGGCTCTACATTTATACATACATTATAGTGAATGAATGAGTTAGTGTTATGAACGACATTAATGTTGTTTAAATAACATCGACTCAATAATAATAACAATAGATTACAGCTCAATAGCATCAACATAAAATAAGATGAATGTCAGAAAAATTAGGAAAGATAATACTACAAATTCATGAGTTTATAGCTTCTACTGAAGGCCAGGGCAGTAGTAGGGGCTGAACTTGCTTCTTTTGAACACAGGGCATTGGTTGTTTGAGGCGAATTGCGATAGCCTCTGCTGTTTGGAGCATGCGGTGCTTCGATGATTTTGGCAATTTATTAGGCACCCGGTATATTAAAGAGAAGGATTCTTCTACGCTGGCATGCTTTAGAGGCAAGTGGACGGGGTGGCCATGGGGCCCCCATTGGGTTTCATTTTGGCCGATTTCTTTCTAAGTAAGCTAGAAAATGGACCTCTGAACAACCTTATCAGTAAGCTCTCATTTTATTGCCGATATATAGATGATGCCTTTATTCTTCGTGATAATGGTCCTGATAGGAGTACAATAATTAATGAATTCAATGAAGTACAATCGGCTATGAAATTCACATGCGAAGAAGAATCCTAAGACAGAATTGCCTTCTTGGATGTCCTACTTACAAGAAAACCAGATGGTAGCATAAAAAGATATTTGCACAGAAAAAGCACTTGGACAGGACAATATACAGGTTTTCATAGCTTCGTCCCTATCAAGTACAAAAGAAATTTAGTGAAGACCCTCAGCCACAGAGTTAGAGCTATATGCTCAGAAGAAGTAATTGAAGATGAATTAAGCATTGTATATGATACTTTAATCGAAAATGGTTATCCCGAAAAATTTATCAAGAAACACATGACAAAGAAAACGGAAAAGGACTACTCACTGTCTGTAAAAAGGAAGCCCCTTTATATACGACTACAATTCATTGGCGATATACCAAGCGAGATAATTGCTAAGAAATTAAGAAAATCAATTCAAAGAACTTTTACTGCTGGCGAACTACACGTCTTATTCTCTACGCGACCGATGGTGATTCCTCGACTGAAAGATGAAGTACCTAGACTAGCCACTTCTATTTCTATCTATCAATTTGACTGCGCTTGTGGAGCGAGTTATATTGGCCGTTGCTCTAGGAACTTGATTTTTCGTGCTCGAGAAAATCTCCCAGCATGGCTAAGTAAAGGTGTAGTGAAAATTATTAACAATTCGATATTGGAACATCTGGTGCGAACCGGCCACAAAGCCAGCGTAGAAGAATCCTTCTCTTTAATATACCGGGTGCCTAATAAATTGCCAAAATCATCGAAGCACCGCATGCTCCAAACAGCAGAGGCTATCGCAATTCGCCTCAAACAACCAATGGCCTGTGTTCAAAAGAAGCAAGTTCAGCCCCTACTACTGCCGTGGCCTTCAGTAGAAACTATAAACTCATGAATTTGTACTATTATCTTTCCTAATTTTTCTGACATTCATCTTATTTTATGTTGATGCTATTGAGCTGTAATCTATTGTTATTATTATTGAGTCGATGTTATTTAAACAACATTAATGTCGTTTATAACACTAACTCATTCATTCACTATAATGTATGTATAAATGTAGAGCCTGATGATGAAAGGGTTATCGTAAAGAGTACTCTTTGTTCAGTATCCATTCTTTTGAAAATCTTAATGGGCATTTTTAATCAGTTTAAATGATAAAAATCTCCAAGTGGATGGAATAGTATGTACAATCCAATATTTCACGATCTTAGCTTAAATTCAAAATCGGTTCACACGAGTTCAGTTGCATTATGCAATCTTACATTCGATTCGGCGAAACACATGCAATGGACAGTCCATTTTTGGGCACATTCCTGTAGAAAAGACTCTCCACTCTTTTACGGTGCACCATTTCAAACAGAAGTAGTATAAACGAAATAATCAATCAGTAACTTGTTTATAATATTACACATACCGACTGTAAAGAATGGTGGATCGAAATCAATACAATGTATGGCGTTGACATAAGGAGCCATTCGTCTTCTTTTATCTTCTCGAACAGACTTACGACGAGGTAGAGTTTTTGGAGAGGACATTTCACCTGGAATTTGACGTTCCCATGGTGAAAGTAGGTGTTCTTGTTCTTCAAAATCTTCTGTAGTCTGCACAGCTTTTACAGGACGTAGATCATTGTTAGCACTACGACCACACAATGCTAAATAGGCATTCTGAGAGTTAGGGCGAAGACCTGCCTGTAATAGTGTAGAGGTATTAAACTGAGCTTGTAATCCAACAAGAGCTGCGTCTACTTTGCTCTTATGAACATGTCCTGCGAAACAGATTAAAAATACATTTCACTTTATTAATGTGTGGTTATACTAGAAAAAGATCACAGTTAGAGTGGTGAATAATAGTCAGACAAACTAGGATAACCTAAGATTAGCGGACTAATATTGAAGAAAATGAAAGACAGATTCAGTGAAAAACATTTTCTTCATCGACGAAACCATCTTCAGAGTAATTCAAAACAATGGGGGCTCTACGCAAAGCATAATAATCCACACCAATTCATATTACACTTAAACGCCACTCAGCGGTGAAATATATACTTGGTTTGCAGCCCTGTAGTAAATGTTTACAAAGAATCACTTTCACTTCAGTATAATTACAATCTACAATATAGAGTCATTCCGAAAATTTCTGATAGCATGGGTGGCTCTATATTAATCTTCCAGGGAGCGATAATCACCCGAACACCTCCATAAGTAGAAAAAGCTCTCCTGATTATCACCGATCTTCATCTTCTTGCCTTTTTCCCAGTGCTAATGCCATTCCACAGGTAGGTTCTCCACTTCCTTTAAAATATATATAACAATATACAGTCAAAAGGAAATGGATAGACGACTAGAACGTTGGAAAGAATAATTTGAGGAGCAATTTAATTGGCCTAAAGCAACGCTCAACTTACCCAGCAGCCAACATCTCACTGAATGGGATATAGACACAGGTCCTCTATTAAACTTTGATAAAGCTAATAGCATTATATAGCGAAACGTCAGTAAAAACAACATCGTTTTGTTTTTTCATTCATTGGGAAATACAAAAGACCTTCATTATAATGAACAGGCCCTCCATCCCTAGATGAGGTTACAAAACCTGTCACAGTCTGAAACGAGGCGAAGCTGAGGGACCCGATGGAATGACTTCAGAGGTGTTTAAAGGTGGCGGAGACAGTTTACTGTCCCAGTTAACTAACGTATTAGGCAGCGTCTGGAAATGAGAGATAGTTCCGTTGGTCTGGTGTAAGTCATTGATTATCCCAGGGAGACAAGTCTTCCCGTGATAATCACAGAGGGATTAGCTTGACTGATATGGTATCTAAAGTCCTGGGCTCAATAATAATGCGTAGACTAAGTGGTGCTCGGGAGGCACAAACACGAGAGAGCCAGGCAGGCTTTAGACCAGGAAGAGGGTGTATTGATCATATCTTCACCCTCCGACAGATTCTAGGACAGACATACTTACCGGCGTCCAACAATCGTCACATTTCCTGACCTGAAGGTGGTATTCGGTTCTGTAGACCGAGAGGCACTATGGCGACGTTTGGCCGTGAAGACAATGCCGAGGAAATACATTAAACTGATTGAAGCACTCTACTCGAATTCATAAAGATGTACTAATGGAATTAATTCTAGCTGCTGACTTCAGAGACTCAGAGATTGACTTGTTGCCATCAGGGAATAATCTGCTTGACTTCGAATATGCAGATGATATAGTCCTTCAGCTGACAAAATGCAGTCTTCTGAACACCTTGAGGAGCTGAAATCTGCGGATGCTTGGCATGTCATTCGTTCCCTCTGTCAAATGTAAGATGATGCTACAGGAGTAGTCTGGACTACACTGACTCCTAGCTTAGAAATAGGGAGTGAAGTAGTTTGTGGAGAGTGTTGACCACTTCACTTATTTGGGAAGTTGCATCAGCCTGCTCCAACGCGCTGAAAGCTGACAAAAGCTTAGCACGGATACAGAAGGCTCGTCTCGCGTATGCCAGTTTACGCCGTCTCCGGCAGAAACGTGATATCCGGCTGACTGTCGATCAAAGGGCATATGTACTGCACAGCAGTCCACTCCATCCTCCTTTATGGTTGTGAGTGAGACCATTGAAAGTGGAAGACATGAAAAGGGTGACTAGTTGTCTTTGACCATAGGTGCCAGGGTTCTATCCGTCATGTTAAGTGGTATAACAAGGTGACCAATATTGAGGTTAGGCGTCAGTCAAGTGCTAGCTTAAGAAGGGAAATTAATTGACAAGTACATGAAATTACATCGACTGAGATGGTTGAGACATGTGTTACGTATGTATAGCTATCGCCTTCCTAGGCGAACAATGTTAGTCAGCTGACATAGCCAGCTCGATCAGGAAACTAAATCTCTATTTGAGGAAGAACTAGCTAAACGCATATCTGAGTTCGACAGCTGTGCTCACCCTGGAGAAGCCTGGAAGAATATTCAGTCAGCTATAGATACAGCTGTAAAAGCTGTGAATAAGGTAAATCCAAAGGTGAGTAAAAACCACTGGATTTCGACTGCCTCATCCGAACTGATAGATGCTAGAAGACTTATTCCGGCGAGCTCCGAATTCAATGAGGAGCGAAAGCTGCACAAAAGGAAACTTACTAAAAGTCTCCGCAAGGACCGTGAACAGTGGTGGGTGACAAAGGCAAAAGAGATGGAAAAAGCATCGGCGATAGGCAACACTAGGCAACTCTTTAGACTCATCACAGAATCGGGCGGGAGAAGGCAATTCATAAGTGAGACTATTTCTGAGAAAAATGGCTCCTTAATTAGCTCTCAGGATAGACGCCTTGAACGCTGGAAAGAACACTTTGAGGAACAATTTAACTTGCCTACAGCCACACTGAACCTCCCCGCCATCCACCACGTACCCGAATGGGATATAGACACTGGTCCGCCGTCTGTAGGTGAGGTTACAAAAGCTATCAGTAATTTGAAACGAGGCAAAGCGGCAGGACCCGACGGAATTATTCCGGAGGTGTTTAAATATGGGGGTGACATACTAGTTTGTAGATTAACTGAGGTACTAGGCAAAGTCTGGGAATCAGAGACAGCCATCAGACTGGGGTAAGTCACTTATTATACCGATATTCAAGAAGGGAAACAAGTCCTCGTGTGATAATCATAGGGGGATCAGCCTAACGAACATAGTCTCTAAAATCCTAGGCTCAGTAATCATGCATAGACTAAGCAGAACTCGGGAGGAACAGACAAGGGAAAATCAAGCAGGCTTTAGACCAGGTAGAGGGTGCATAGATCATATCTTCACTCTTCGACAGATTCTAGAACATAGACACACTTTTCGGCGTCCAACAATTGTCATATTTCTTGACTTGAAGGCGGCCTTCGACTCCGTGGATCGAAAGGTACTATGGCAATGTCTGACTGTGAAGGGAGTGCCAAGAAAGTACATTGCACTAATCAAGGCACTCTATTCAAACTCACGTAGTCGTGTAAGGGCTTATGGGGAATTGTCATCTGAATTGGTAACAACCAGTGGTGTCCGACAGGGATGTCCACTTTCCCCATTTCTGTTTAACTTCATCATAGATATGCTAATGGAAGTATCCTTAACTGAACGTAATGACTTAGGAATCGACTTGTTACCAGGGAATAATCTTGTGGACTTAGAATATGCAGATGACATAGTCCTGTTAGGGGAGGATGCTGACAAAATGCAGAGTCTTCTGAACACCTTGAGCAGCAATCTTCGTATGTTTGGCATGCGATTCGCCCCTGCAAAATGTAAGATGCTGCTACAGGACTGGACCACGTCAACTCCTAACTTAGTGATAGGGAGTGAAGTGATAGAACATGTTGACCACTTCACCTACTTGGGAAGTTGTATTAGCACCAACGGACTGATTGGCGATGAAATCTCAGCACGGATCCGAAAAGCTCGAGCTGCTTTCGCTGACTTACACCATCTCTGGCGTAGGCGTGACATCCGGTTATCAACCAAGGGACGTGTGTACTGCTCATCAGTTCGCTCCGTCCTTCTCTATGGCTCTGAAACATGGCCAATACGCGTTGAAGACATGAAAAGGTTGACTGCTTTCGATCATAGATGTCTGCGATCTCTGTCTCACGTTAGGTGGTTTAATAAGGTAAGTAATGTTGACGTTAGGCGTAGAGTGTTGGGCAAAGAGGGAAAATCAATCGACGAGGCTATAAAGTTACATAGACTAAGATGGCTAGGTCACGTGGTGCGCATGCCTAACCACCGCCTCCCCCGACGGGCATTGCTAGCTGATATAGGTTCAGGTTGGAAAAGAGCCAGTGGTGGCCAAACAAAAACATGGCATCAATCCATGAAATCCTTGACAGTTAAACTGAGTCAGGTAGGGAGATGCAGACTCCCGGGTTGGGGCCCTCGGGACTCTAGGAATCAATGGCTGGAGACAATAGGTGACATGGCTCAAAATCGTTGTCAATGGCGCAGATGTATTCAGTCTCTGTAATCTTTCATATTCCTTTCTACCATTACCCATTCTGTTTCACTCTTATACTTGTCAAACTCTATTAATTCTCTTCACTCATCTTCTTGTCTACCTCTGTGGGCTATTTGGAACGTGGCAACTCGAACTGCTGCACTTCGGTGCCAAGTTCTATGTTGAATCCAGACAGACAGACATAGGGTCAGGTTGGAAAAGAGCAGATGGTGGTCAAACCAAAATATTACTTCATCAGTCAATGAAATCCACAAGTGTTAGTTTAAGCCACGAAGGAAGGTGTGGATTTCTTGGCTGGTTGGGACGGTGAAAACCAATGGCTGGAGACAATTGGTGATATGGCTCAAAATCGTTCTCAATGGCTGGCGTAGATGCATCCACTCCTTGTGACTTATAATATCCAATAAAACTATATGGTTCTTCGATATTACTGTTCTTATTACCTCATATCTCTGTTTATTGTCTCTATTTTGAATTTCTATTTACTCTTTTCTCTTGCTTTTGTGTGCTGAATGAAGTATGGTGACTCGGACTGATGCACATCAGTCACTCAGTCATACAATTAATAGTGACCTAACCGAGAAAACAGCCTAGAATCAAAGAACCATGCTGCCAACTTCCTTTTACGACTTTCAACGCCTGCAAATTATGGTAAATCAGACAGAAGACCTCACCGACTCAGAATTTCCGCATCTGTAGCCACGAATAGACGTTGTGTTTCGGAGACACGCATATATCACCCCACATGCAAAATTCACCTTATGGGTGTCAGGAGATTTTTTCGGCTAGTCTGTGAGGTGCTGGAGTGCAAAAGTCCTTTGTAGACTGGATTCCGGTAGGTAGTCGTATGTGTGTTCGACATCCAAACGGATCCGTAAGGAGAAGGAAGGACTGCATTACCCGTCGATATCCTTTCATAATTTCCGCCTACTCTCCAACAGACTACATTTCGGACGAAATAAAGAATAAGTTCTATCAATAGCTGTTTAGTCTGCAGGTAAAAGCAAAACGCTCAGAGATGTAGTCATTTTAGCAGCCAACTTCAATGCCCAAGTACGGAAGCAATGTCAGTGAGGAACGTGTATTGACAGAGTTGCATGCCAATGAAATGATTGCAATGATAGTCCTCTAAAATTCTATTCAGACAATCGTTTGTTTCCTCTTAGTATTAATTACGAAGATAAAGGGACAGATTGTCTCAACTGGCGATGTTCATCATCAAACCAACGATGGATTCAAATAAATCCCTTAACTATACGCTCACGACGGAGAGGGTTGGTAGAAGACTCCCACATCTCCTGGAGCACCTGTGTAGACTCCGATTGCGCTGCTTACGACTAAACTGGCATTGAAAGCAGGCGCCCATGAAGTCTACACACCACCCAACTTGACGTTAACAAAAAGTCTTTATTTGGGGAAGACGGCAAGAACCATCCAGACGAAGCCTCGCGTAACACCCAATCAGATGCAGAGACAGTGGTAACAATTATTGATAACCTGAAACAAAAAGTTCAAAAATGCCAGTGGATTACTACTGCACCGACTTAAAAGATAACCAATAAGTGGAACGATTTCTGATAATGATGGCGCTATAATTGCCTCTCAGGATAGGAGACTGGAACTCTGGAAAGAGAACTTCGGGGAACGGTTAAATTGGCCCACAGTAACGCTAAATCTCACCAGCACACAAACCTCTGCTCATTTAACATATGGAAATGCTTGCACTAAGTGTAATGAAGGCAATTGGTACAATAGATAGTTCAGTAGTCGTGTAAAAACTATCACTTTTCAACTTTATTGGAGACAACAGCGTTTGAAATACAGGTACATTCAGATGAGGAGTATGAATAGAACGAAATGCATCCTGCACCAGGAACACGATAATAACAGTAATAATACACCTATACTAACACTGATAATAACGATAATACAAATCGACAATGGCATAAGGGCTCCGGGTAAAAGCACACGCACACTTCATAACCCGATAAAATTTATCTCTATAGCCTCCGCCTTTAAAGTCATCTACAAGGCAAAGAGTAATTTGCCCAAATCCCGACGTACTCGACTCATCTGTATTGCTGAAGCTTTGGCTATCGAAACAGAAAGGCCAGATCTCCGTGTACATAGAAAGTTCGTTCAACCCCTCCAACTTTCATGCTCTTAATCCCTCTATGCTAAAATATGGTAATCCCCAATCATATTTTAGCTCTACCAATTTTTCATTTTGTCTATTCAATTTGTATACTCTTCCTTATTAAGTCAATTGTTATTATTACTACTCTCACTTTGAACTGTCCCCGGTATTATTTCACTTGTTCTACTTGTCATTCCAAATCAATTCTTTTTTACAACGATAAATTCTATGCCATTAAATTTCACACACTATTACGTAACGTTTTTTGTTTTATTCCATTTGTTTACTAATCCTAAAATTGCACATCCTTTTTCACGTTCTATCCCTCCTATGAATTATTCTATATATGACATTAATTTGCTTTGCCACTTGACATTTAACTACGATTATAATCACAAACATTTTAGTTTTAATTGAACTTCATATGATTATTATTATTAATTTATGCATTCACACCTATGATTCAATTCCCTCACAGGATATAACTTCTTAAAATTTAAGTAATCAAAAATGAAGCAACAATCTTTCGATTTACTGAAAACAGTATTACTAATTACCAACAACAAAGAAAATGCTTACTCCAAGAAGTTCTTAAAAGTGTAGTACTATTAGCTGTTCCATCTGTAGACGAACGTCCCATCATACAGGTTAAGTGGTAGGTTTTCAGCCAAGACGATTGTTCAAATTTACTTGCATGGTTGTAAACACCATCTTCGCCAATACCGTAAACTATTGAGTAGAAAAGGGATACAGATTATTCAAGATAATCTTACCTTGTACACCAGACATGAAATCATTCAGAGGATCAATAGGATACAGCACAATATCACCTGGCATGAAACGTCTACCCAACACTTTGAAATATAATCAAAGAAAAATTATTTCAAGAATTATGCAGATACCATGATCACTGTCTACAAGATCCGGTTCTGTAGTTATTTTCAATAGTTGATTATTATGGCTGCATGCTTGAATCGATGTGCGTACAGATTGTTTCTCACAAGGAAGTGAGTTGAAGGCTAGCAGAAAAAGAATTTATACGGCCAGTAAAACGACAAACCATCCGCTAAAGAACGCTTTATACATCTGGTTAATCTATCGATATTTGTCTCTGGTGATTTATAAACGCATAATATTCCATTCAGTAGATTAAACAATTGAATACGTCCAGGGTTATACATTGCTTAAAATACCTTAAAATGAAAACAATGACAAAAGTTAGTACAACACTGACAGCAACTATAGCTATAGATATTAGCACAGTCTATAACCCAGGACACACAAACAATGAGTTGTATTAATTCTAGCTACTGATTATTATAAGCGTTTGTGTTCAAGCGTTCCTGTTACGTATGGCCAGAAATAATGAGGTTAGGCGTGAAGTTATATCGCCTGAAATGGCTACGGTATAGGTTGCCTTGTTGCTTTCACAGGAGCTGGTTAGATGAGTGTTTTGTTTAAACTTTTTGTTGCAGTGAAAGCCATTTTCACTAACTATTAAAACGCTGAACTGTGTTAACACACCTCATACGATTTCACTTTTGTACCTAAAATTCTTCCACGCCACAACTTGCCATACAATTCAGTTTTCCCAAAAGTTCCATCACCACCCAATACGTTACATCTCAATTCAACACTCATAACACATTCTTCGCATATGAAATACTGCTTCATGTTTTTCAACAGTACACAAATGGACAATTGAAATGCATATTATACTCACCATCCTTAGCATATATATATATATATATATATATATATATATATATATCTGTCTTTTTTCGACATAGACCTTTGCACAAATGTGCGGAAGTTCAAGTCGCCACATTCCGTGTAGCACGCGAAGCAAGAGAAGAAAGTACAAGAAATGCATAATAGAAACAGTGAGCAGAGGTGTGAGACAAAGGAGTAATAAAGAAAAACAAAACAGTTTCATTGGAGATCATAAGTCACAAGGAGTGGATGCATCTTCGCTAGCCATTGAGAACGATTTTGAGCCATGTCACCAATTGTTTCCAACCATAGATTTTTACCGTCCCGAGGACCCCAGCCTGGAAGTCTACACCTTCCTACGTGGCTTAGACCAACTGTTGTGGATTTCATTGACTGGTGCCAAGTTTTTGTTTGACCTCCGCTAGCTTTTTTCCAGCCTGACCCTATATCCGCTAACATTGCTCGTTGAGGGAGGCGATGGCTTGGCATACGTAACACATGTCCTAACCATCTCAGTCTTTGTAACTTCACGACTTCGTCGATTGATTTCCCCTGTTTACCTAGAACTCTACGCCTAACCTCCATGTTGCTCACCTTATTATGCCACTTTACACAGGAAATAGAGCGCAGGCACCTATGATCATATATATATATATTTAGTACGCAATGCGTACATATCGTCAGCACTTCAATTTCTCAATTCAGTACTTCTTTTCAAGACTTATCAAGGAGTGATGTCAGTTTTGTTTTTTCTTGCATGACTTGCTTCATTCTGATGTAGCCACTTTTGTTAAGTATGCCGATGACCTCTATGTTTCTATGCTTGTCAACTCTCAGCCAGATTGTTCCAATTTAAATAACTTTCTATCGGAAATTAGTCAGTGGCTCTCTTCAAACGGACTTAAGCTTGATCCGGCTAAATGTCAGGTAGTCAATTTCACTTTCACACGTAAACGTGACCTACAACAACTAGTTAGCTCACATGGCCCCACTATCATTGACGGCACAGAGGTTGAAAATACATCTAGTGTCAAGTACCTTGGGCTGAGTTTTTCCACCGATCTTTCCTGGTCCTCCCACATCTTGCTAGTTACTAGAAAGATGTTTCGCTTAACGTTCTACATTAGGAAATTTAGGCAGTCTGGCATAAAGCAGTCTTTGCTTTCTCAGTTTGTAAATTCTTGTATTCTACCCATCCCCCTTTACTGCTCCCCATTAATCTTTCCTGGACTACTTAAGAAAGACTTTGCTTCGCTGAGAAGGGCACTAAAAGCCGTTAGTAGGGCAAGTGGGATATCGTTAAACCAACTGGTTAACACTATTGTGGATAGACATATTATGTCATGTAAGAAACTAGCGAATATGTGATGAGAAATCCGTTAGGTATGACACGATCAACTTACTGCGGCACTCTAGCAAATAGTCCCATCAGTTTTTGTTTTCCTTTCCTCGTTACTATTATATTGTTGTTCTCATCTTCTATTACACACTAATTTTATATTTCATATCCTGTGATGCATTTTTAAAATGTAAACGCAACGCTGTTCTTTTTATTTATTTATTTTTTGGGTGCTACTTCTTGATTTTAAAATCTTATATAATTTATGAGGTAAATAGATGCAATATATTGTAATGCATGCTGAAAATTCCATACCTGTACCACAAATACTGTTTGAAATAAAGCTGTTATTATTATTATTAGTTAGAGGACCAGTGAAAACCAGGAAGTACTGCACAACGGTATCGTTTCAGTTTATGACTAAGACTGTACACACCCACCGGGTGCAAACCTAAGACCTACAAGTCAAACGTGTAAACCATCCAGTCACTAGGACCTGACTCGATGGCTCATGAGTTCCAACTCCTGACAATTCGTGACTTTAGAGCGGCTGGCACCAGTCAGTGTCATCGGCGAATATCTGTCCTCACTCCCGACCAGGTCGACTCCATTGGTCACGACTTCTCACTAGAACTCCAAGCAACTTCATCCTGCAGTCAGTCACTAAAAAGCATCACGTGACTGTGAGATATTTTATCAAAAGCTAATAATTAACATTTTGCTTTTAAAATACAACTTGATTATGCAGTTAAGACGAGAAATCCCCATCGGCTTTTGTTTGATCACTGATGCCATAAAGAATGTGAATTTAACAAACATATTAACAAGATCACTAGATAATTCATTGCGATTCATGAACTCACCTTTCTTAGTACAAGTTGTATTTTTCTTGAAGTAGATTCAGTACACATTTACAAAACTTATGCACTCGAGCATAATATTTGACAACGGGATAGTGAAGACAGATTTTAAGTGGCTGAAGTTAAGTTGACTTTCACCGAAAAATGCAGGCTAACTAGGCTACCTACCAAAGAATGTAGAATCGACGTAATACCACAATTTAAACCAGACTAGTGTTCACAAGAATCTAGTGTACTAGATGGTCATTAAGGGTAAAATAAAAACATGTGATGCAACCACAGCCTTGATTGGTCTAAAGACTAATACAGCACTGCGTTGGTTGAAGGCTGGACTTAAGACTTCTGGAGAAGTTACATTATAACAACCACCTCGATTCACTTTACCAAACACCATGAGCAACTAGACAGAATTAAGGAGCAATAAAACTCACGAAGTTGTTAAAGATAACGACGGACCATGGTATTCTGAGGTCTGTTTACCTTACAGATTCTGTTGTTTACTCTACCCAAAAATTCGAATCTTCTTAAAAGACCAGTTATCCTAGCAAGCTTCCCCTACATGTGAATGTTATTCTAGTTAATCCAATCAAACACCCTGTCACCAAACAATCATGGAATTTGTCAAGCAAATCCAGAACAGAAGGCTTGGTTTGACTTGGTTGTAACACACTTCTAAGTGCTTTTCAACAGTCATATAATGGAGTGATTGCTAATGGTTTAACACCCCCCCCCCGATGTTTTTGCCTAAGATACTAACCTAAACTGTTCCTTGACATTTGCCTAAAAAGTCAATTTGGTGAATTATGAAGCCCAATCCACAGGTTCTACCTTGACGTGATGGTCTGGCTTGCATATAGCAATGATCCAACAAGCTACAATAGCTGGAAGTAATGCTTTTGCAGGTCCTACTGTTCCAGGAAGATTGTTAGAATAGTGATTGGACTAAAAACAGTTACAGACATAGTGTATGATTTGTTACACCATATAAATTTGTGTTTATATGAAAATATAAATTATTATAAACTAAAACAGATAAGATAATTGGAAGTTGGATGGTGAGGAAAAAAGAGTAGTTATAACATCGTAAACTTTTATACAAGTATGCCTATAAATATGACTATAAAAGCAGTCAAAAGTGAACTCATTTCTGACCAAGAACTTGAACTTAGAACAAAAGTGCCGCTAGAACACATTATGTTAGGAGTGAAGCTGTATTGACTTCCACAATATTTAAATTCAAAGGGGTCACCAATATCCCTCAGAGTGGCAGATATGTTTATGGATAGGTGAGAAAACTTGAAACATTCAGCCCTACGCCCAGAGTATGGTGGTGGTAAGTATATGACAAATTTACCGTACTTAGAACACAGGACGTTAACAGATTTTTCGAACAAATCAACTCGAGAGTAGAGGCAGTTTACTTCACTTATGAATTGGAAAGTCAGGGAGGGGAACTTCCAATGGTACATTGTAGTGCAAAAAGCAGAAAAGGTGGGAAGTTAAACATAACGTTTACAGAAAACCTGCATATTCAAACGGATATTTAGATTTTGGATTATCCCACCTTATGTCAGTAAAATTAGGATTGATGAAATGTTTAATTAATAGGACACAAAACTAAGTGCCAAGGATATTCCAAGAAAGGAAGTCAGGTATATAAGAGAAGCTTTGGAACTTAACCTACTTTTCCTCTCAGCCCCCTCACATTGCTATATAGGCAGCTGACAGTGTGTTCAACAACCTCAGAGTATTTTAGGGTAGTTGATTTAGAACTGTCTGCTGGTGGGGGAGTTAATGTTGGGACTAGTTGGCCGATTCCGACAGAACCGGCCCGTTATAGTTTTTTCCATAGATTTAGGCAGGACACTTGGGTGACACAGACTGTTATTCTCAGAACTGCATCGCTCTAGTGTCACTGAAGTTTGGGGACGTATTAAAGCCTCAGTTTGCTGCCTCCTTATAGTTCGGGGTCTGCTTTCGCAGCATCGGATGTGTACTATTTTTCCCTTGGTCTCATACCACCGTTGAAGTGCTATGGACAACTATCCGTAATTTCAGTTGGGAGCAAACCCAACTCAGAAATGTGGTCAGTAGTCAATTATCCGGGACAGAATACTGCTGAATCAGCAATGAAATAAGGACTACGTAGGGTCGAAGTCAATCATATATATTGTCTAACCTTACACAAACGTGGTCCAAGCACTGAATTTGATTTCATAATAATGTCATATAAATCGCCAACGTAAATCCACATACAAATAACATGCATAGTTTGCATGGATTATGAAACTGTATGCTTTAGAATGGAAATTTTAGAAAGTCGGAACCGTGTGATGGTAAATTACTAAACAAGTGTTCGCTCTCACACTAACTGAGTCGACGGAAGTGTAGATCAGATGTACGCCTATCTCGTCCGTCAAAACCCCATCAGCCTACACGGTCTTCACGTTCGAGAAAATTAACCCAACTTATCTAATCAGAAGTGAAAATATCAGATGCATAATGGATCACATGAACAGAGTATCACAATCTACCTAGAATAGGCAGGTTAAGCTCGATGTATAATCCTTTATAATTTCTATCCTCAGAATATAGTCTTACCAGGAAGAGAGAAAAACCAATGATCATAGCATTGTAAATAACCCGTACCTCAGGCATCTGGTTTCGCACCCATCGCTTCAAGGTCAACCGGCGACACAGTTATGTACCCAATGGTGGATTAAAAGAAGTGGGGAAAAAATATTTCTATGACAAATCTAAAAAATACTGGCCCATACGAATCATTCATGTAAACTTTTTAAATTCGAAATAACAGGTTAGACAGTTATGCTGTTTCTGTGTTTTTGGAGACTACCGGTTTATTTGTTAACCTTACTTTGTCCTCCAGGCAGCAAATTCAGTGCCATAGATATGGTCCAGAAGGCGCAAATGGTGACTGGAAGCCACCTGCTAGCGACGCCATCGTTGTGAATTATCAATCCAGGCCTAATATGTTTCAGAATTTTGGACAGCTAGCTGAAATAAATCGTTTACTCAAATATAAACAGTAAATGTTTTTATCTAATAACTCGTAGAAGGAATCAATCGGGAGAAACAGTTCTTATAACGGGTGGCTGTAGTTAAACAGACATCATGGAGCAGAGTGACTTTTAATTAAATTGGGTAATCTAGAATTTTATCTCATACGTCAACCAAACCACTGTCTTTACTCATTGTTAGACCTGGCGGTTGTCATGAAGATGTCATCTCGTTCATGATTCAGCTTAGATCCTCGTCAGCTATAAGGATATGTGACACCTAATTGAGGAATATGTGATTGCTTTTCACAAACCACAATTTACTACTTCCAGCGTTATCCAAGCATTCCAACACGGCATATCAGTGCGTACTATATATCATGCGGTATGACTATTCGCTACATCTTCGCATGTTTTCGCTCGTATGACCTGCCTAAAAATGTTTCTTCTGGAAAACGATGGGAAACGACTGACTGATATCAGCCGACTGCGCTCCCTATCCATTTCTAACGTCTTAGTTAAGGCGTGAGACTAGCGACCCCACCCCATAGAAACAAACAGGCTCCCCTGCTACTGAAGCCGCGTTCCATTCGAAATACTGACGTATAAAAAGAAATCATACTCTAGAATTAAGGAAAAGTAAGCAGTGCGCTTGATAGCAGAATAGACTACTGCCTCAAATTTCTTGCATATTTCTGCTGCATCACCTCAATGAAGAAACACAGGTCAAAGGCAAATGATAGGCGAATTAATCTCTAAGAAAAGCGGAACTCTAGTTACCTCTTAGTATAGGCAAGTGTAACGCTAGAGGAAATAATCTGTAGATCAACTTAACTGATCAACTCTCAATCTCTCCAACAGGTTGGGTCTCCAACTGTAAAGAGATTTGCGAATTATTTATTATATTATCATTACATCCTTTGGTTCTTAGTATAACATACCGCTTCGGCCACACGTCCCCACCGCATTTAATTCTCTGTCAGAGATTTTGCCTGTCTCCACATACGCCCACATGCATTCGTCTCCTCTTTTCATGACTGCAACTCCAAGCGCTGAACAACGATGATCCGTTGTCAATGTAGTTGAAGATTGAACGATCAATTCATGGTTGTTTGCTCAAAACCAACTTCCCCAATTTTCGCGGAGGCATCAATACGACAGTCATCGTCTCATCGGTCGCTGTTCAGAAAGAAGTCAGGAGACAAATGTCAGAAGTACTATTGTGATTCATTATTGTAATATTTGTTCACAGACCTTAGTTGTAACATTGTTTATGTTGGTGTTACAATAAAGAATTCTCGAGTCGCCAATCGGTGTTTGGTTTTTCGTACGTTATTACTAAGCGTTTCTGAAAGCATTCGAGGGACAGCGAGAGGGCCGCCGTAGCAAGAGCTGGGCATTAACGGTTTACGAGACGTGGCTGAGAGTTTCTGACAGTACAACGTCAGCTTTAAAACGGTTTCGGACAGCTGGCACGAATTTGGATAGTCACCGTTCATCTTTCCTGGTGCCGGTCAAGTCCTCTTTGAACAAGCAATATCTGCAACTTTTTTGGAATTCGGTCAAGTTCAACAATGCCTGGGTCAAAGAAAAGACAGAGCGTCTTGGATGCAAACAGGAAAGTAAGTCATGGTGACTTGTCTGTTAATTGTAACGATGTGTCTGTTGATAAGCATGACATGGTTGATGTTACTGTTACGCCGTTCAGGGATAATAGGAACATCAAACTCCCTAAGTTTGAACCACGGTGTTTCGATGGAAACCCAGCTGATTATTTACAATTTGTAAAGGAGTTTGAGATCATGCTGAGTAGTTTTCTATCAAGTGATGAATTGAAGTTAATGTATTTGATGAGATATTGCACTGGAGATGCTTCAACAGCTATACAGTGCTGTAAGTTTATGAAGCCAAAAGAGGGCTACGATGAGGCTATGAGCATACTACGTCAAAGGTTTGGAAGACCTTCAATGATTGTAGGGAAATTATTCGAGGCTGTTAAAGGTAATGTTAGTCAATTACGAGATGACTCCAAGGCACTCTCTGAGTTTTTGGATAATTTGTTGATTTGCAAGAATGCAATGATTTCGATGAATTGCATGAGTGACCTCAACTCGAGTTTTATACTAGAAGTAATAGCAAGACGCCTACCTACTCGACTGCAAAGAAAGTGGGTGAAGATAAGCTCCCGTATGGAGGATGAGGGTATCGAACCAAAGTTAGATGATATCCTGAAACTAGTAAAAGATAGTGTCAATCAATCTATGAGCAAGTTTGCCAGTATATTGAATCTCACCCCTAGAATAGAGAAGTCTGAGAGTAAAACGCAAACATTGATGACGAATAGGCCTCAGAGAGGTGGATATCGAGAAGGCTCCATGATGTCTAGTAATGCATATAAACTTAGTGAGTGCAACAGGTTTCGTAGTACATCCTCAACAGATAAGTTCCAAGATGCAAGATAAACATGGTTGTGTTTCACGCGTTTGCAAGAGGTGCATACAAGGTGAAATGTGAACCAGTAAGCAAGTTCAGTGATAAGCTAAATGTAAACTCCAGGCCTGACTCCGAATTGTGTGACGATAACGGTGCGGTGGAGAAGCCTGTAGTTGCAACTGGTAAGCCATTGTTTAATAGTATGCCACAGAAGAGAGTTACAGTTTCAGAGTGTAGTTCTGACTCCACAAGTTTACAAGGTATTACTAGTTAGAGTGAAGGTATAAAATCCTTAGGGATTTGTGAGGAGGAACCAAAATTGTCTACTGCTGTTATTGAAGAGTTTGAAAATGATGAAGTCGACCAGATAGATGATGATTTGTCTTTGGTTGATCATGATGAAATGGGGGGAATGCCTACTGCTGCTAAGTTGAATAGGGGTTCTGTACAACTTGAACGTGAAGTATAATTAAATACAGATGCAGTTGCAGAAGGCGTGCATACTTGTCAAACCGTAAGTGTAATCGATCAACATGTAGCCCACCTATCATCAGATGCTGGTGCTAAAGCGGAGCTGATAGTAAACGACAGCAGTGGTGGTGGTCTTGCATGTAGACAAACTTCTGAAAGCCGAGCAACAACAGCTTTTGATCCACCGCTAACTTCATCAACTGATATCAATCAGTCGTCGTTGGTGCTGTCATCCACAATGAAAAAGACGCCCGTCAACTCAAGCATATTGTGCAATGACTATGATAGTATTGGTGCACTTGAAGAGACGAAAGATGTTGGTCAGTTTAGTGAGGATAAGCCAAGTGTGTACGAGAGGGTAATTGTTAAATTGACTTGCACGAATAAAGGCATTTCTAGTTTCAAGTTACTATTTGAATGCTATTATCTTTGGTGTAAATTACTCTGTGCCTACGCTTGGTTGACCAGATACGTCGTGTGTTTGTTAGTCATCTATATTTTACAATACAATGACATGAGCGTGTTGCCGTTCAGATTTGTCGATATAGCTCATAGAAGGAAGTTAGCAAATGAACTCTGCGACGATTTTCCAACCTAGGGCGTCAACCTGAGAAGGATTGTAGGCGTACTGCTGTAAGTCCTACAATTCTTCAAAGGGCAGCGCATCAATGAGCAGTCCGATGTGCTTGGTGTGTGATTTTGTACATATGTTCATATTGTATATACTGAATTGATACTATCTGTCATCTAGCTGTTGGTAATTCTGTTTGTGTCCGTACGGCTTCCACCTGAATAATCAACCTGAGAAGGAATGTAGATGTACTGCTGTAAGTCATACAGTTCTTCAAAGGAATTCCATTGAGACACGATCTGCGAGTTTGTGTGTACTGTTTGTATATATGCGTGGTGTGTCATGTCAGTTTGTGTTCCTGGATTCATCGTGTTTACTCGTTGTTTTCGTACCTTGTTGTTCTGCATAACTTTGTTAACACTTTCATCGTGATTACTTCTGAAGTTGTTTCTAGTCTTCTACATCCGTGAACGAATTGATTGATGTTAGAGACAGCAGATGGGTCGTATACGCCGGGGAGGCTAGGCTAGTGCTGAGAATGACATGTACACAGGGATAAGGATTAGCTGTGGAATCAATGATTGGGATTGAATGTTTCTATTTAGGCCGTGGTTCCACACGCCGGAGAGCGGGAGTGTAGACGACTGAGGCTTGCATACGTCACCGTTACAAGAACTGAGGCAGAATGAGTGACAAGCGATTGCAGGGGTAATTGGTAGTGGGTAGATAAGAGGATGTGCGTAGAGTATCATGAGGTGGTGCTTTGGTTACGTTACGTTCCGCAAGAGCCCCAGAAACCGTACCGCATCTAAAACGTGATAAAACCAACCCAATCTCTCGCAAACGCCTTGACTTAATGTTCGGTTTTTCAGTTTATCAGGGGTTCTACCAATATTTGATCAATCAAGTTTATAAACTCACGAGACTATCTATAATTATCCTGGACCTATAATCCCAAATCAGTTGTGATAGTTCTTCCATAATACAAGCAAATCGGTACTTTGTAATGTCTAAAGCATCTCATATGAAAAGCGGCCAGGAAAACCTAGCAATAATTCCAGCCATGTTCTGACCATGTCTTCTTCTATGACCACCAGATGCAACTTCAAAGCAGGCATAGTGTCTGTCAGTGTAGTTGAAGATTGAACGATCAATTCATGGTTGTTTGCTCAAAACCAACTTCCCCAATTTTCGCGGAGGCATCAATACGACAGTCATCGTCT